CAACCCCCGCCCCCCTTGCAGGCGGCTCCCATAAAAGCCCAGCGCCAGCCGGCGCCTGCCCTTCGCCCACGCGCTGCCCCGGACCGACGTCACACGCTGCCGGGCAGCGCTCCTGCCACCATTTTTTGAGCCTGAGTCGCACCATCCTCCCTGGCGAGTTCAAACAGCAAAGAGCCGAACCGACCGCTCTGCGCTGGACTGAAAAACTGACGTCTCCAAAGTGTTCATAAACCAAAAATTGAGAGGAAAAAAAACAAAAACCCAAACCATTCGCCTTAGGTTATAGCACTCTGTTTCCACAATTTTGATGCTTTCCTTCAATTTCACCATTAAAACTAGCCAACAAACCAAGCTGTTACTAGCTTACTTCTCAACATTAAAAGCTACTTTGAACCAGAAAAATTAGAAATGTTTTATTTGGGCAATTTTGAGTCTGCTCTCCTCCTTCCTTTCCAAAATGATTTCAGTTAAATATATATGCATCTCCAAACCAAACTTCCCATAAATATGTGTTTTTGAGAGATTAATGCTTTTTCCACTGATAAAACCATTTAAATGGGATCCAGAGATTGGTTATTTCAGGCTCTCGCTCACATCACGCCGAGCCTGAACCAAACGGAGCCCAGACCTGCCACAGAGGAACACTTTTCTTCTCCATTAGAAAGGAATTCACTGTCCAGACTCAGGCTTTTCTGGGCCTTGCCTAAGCATCATTATCTGGGTTCAATTGAAGTGTAATTGGCAACATGTTTTTCTAGGATTACACTTCATTATGAACAGAGCAGGGGCCCTGAAACCCACTTCTCCTGTAATCGGATCCATTTTCCAGCCTGTGCTCCTGGAGAGTCATTTATAATCGCCCCCAGCGAGCCCTGGGGGATTGCGAGAGCCATCTGAACCACCCCGGGATTAGCGCCGCGGAGCAGCCGAAACGGAGCCTGGGCTGAGCCCGCTCCCCGCTCAGGGCCATGGAGACGACAGGGGAGGATTAAAAGGAATCAGCTGCGTGATCGGGGAGCCAGGTGCCAGTAACCATCGCCCGTCGGTCTTGCGCGGGGGAGCGGGCTGCCCTGGTGCAGGGGAAGGGGAGATGGGCTGCAAGGACCACCGTGGGGAGGGTGCAGAAATCAGGTTTCTCCCACCTGCTTTTCCCCTCCAAGCACTCAGGGCAAGCTATGCCATGGCAAGCTTGTGCACAGCCTGGCCCCAAGCACAGTCCCTTGGGTGGTGGGTCACCAGCCTCTGCCCTCTGCCCTTGCCCGGGGTACCGCAGGGTTGGCCCGGCCAAGCAAGGGTGTTTATTAGAGGCAATCTCTCCCCTCACCCTGAACTGTCACCCTGGCCCAGCAGTCAGGGCTGTTTTCCCTCCTGTACGAACTCAGCAAGCACCACGGGACGCCTCCCCCGTGGCCCCCCCTCTCCCGCGTCCCCGGGGCCGCGCGGGACGGCTGCCCTCCCCGTGCCGCCGCCGG